CCCCCCGCTGCCGGCAGCGCGACCCGGGACCCTCCGCCCCGGCGGGCGGCGGCTGGGGCGGGACGGGACGGGACGAGGCGGGAGTTTGGGAAGTTGCGTGCTGGAGCCGGCCGAGCGGGACGGGGGAGGCTGCACGGCCCCTTCCCGCCCCGGGGGGAAAAGCCAGCCCGTGTCTGAGGGGGGCTGCGGGAGGAAGGGGAAGGGGAGGGGAGGAAGGGGCTCCGGGCTCCGGGGCACCTCGCTCGGCCTCCCACCAGCGCTGCCCTGTGGGTCGTTTGTCCTCTTACCTGCCAAGCTCCAAGCGATCAAGGTCACAAGTTTGGTCCCTAGAAGAAAAGCCCAAGAGGAACCCGGCCCAGAAGCCCAGAGTGGCCCTCGGGCTTCTCAGCACACAGCTTGACCCCCACCAGGGAAATACGATCATGTCCCCAACAGGTCATTACTGTATTTACTTCTCATCCCTCCTCCCCTCGCAGCTCACACCACTGTGTTGAGAGAAATCCACAGCAGGGTGTCATTAACACACTAGGTGCCATCCCACAGAGTAAATTCGAAAAATAAATTAAAAAAAATACACACGACTGGAACAAACCCTGGATTCAAATCGTTGTCTGAGGGACTGAAACATTTGGACAGCCCTCTTTGTTTGAACAACTAAATTTTTACTAAGCATTTGCAATTGAAAAAACAAATCTGTTTCACAGATTTGTTGAACACAGGAAGTTCCATCTGAACCTGCAGAAAACCTTACTTAGTTTGCAGGTGGCAGAGCCCTGGAACAGGCTGCCCAGGGAGGTGGTGGAGTCTCCTTCTCTGGAGACATTCAAAACCCACCTGGACGAGTTCCTGTCCAGCCTGCTCCAGGTGAGCTTTGGCAGGGGGTTGGACTAGATGATCTCTGAAGGTCCCTTCCAACCCCTGCCATTGTGTGATTCTGTGACCCTGATAACAGGAAATCATCCCTCCTTGTGAAGAAAACACAAACTAAACTTAAACATCTGTCTTCAGATCTCCTTATGAGACTGCCAACATATTTTAAAGTTAATTGCAAAAATGTTTCTGCTGATACTTCCAGAGGATGAACTTTCTTTGTTTTAAAAAAACCCACCCTTGAACCCCCATCGTCCTCCCAGCCCTGCGACCCCCCCGGAGCTGCTCTGGCTGCCCCACCACAGTCCTGCTCCCTGTCTGTGTGACAGCTGCTGTCCCAGCAGAGTCCCATCTCCTCGCTCTCTCTGGGCAGGCACTGAGGTACCGCTGTGCACCTGCAACAAGTTCTAGCTATGCATCCTCCCTGTTGTCTCCAACATCCCAAGTATTTTTGTCACCAACTTCTTGCCTAACACAGCCAATGCTCCTGCAAACCAGTTCACCTTTTCTGTTCTTCATGAAATACTCTTAATTAATATCTCATACTTCAGAAAGTGTGTATTAGATTCTCCCACTTCCAGAAAGGTATGTTACTTTTTATTACTCTAAGTATCTGATGGAAGTAAACTCGCACTCACTTACTAGTTGTAAACACCTTGCAGCTTTATCCATCTTTTTCCTTGTCTTTTTAAGTAGATAATAGCATTTCTGTATAACTTTAAAATTTTACAGCTACTTTCAGAAGAACATTTTATTTTCAGAAGAATATCACATTTGCATTTTCCTCAGTACATCTTCAATTCTGAATGATGTCAGGAAGATACTCCTACATAAAAGCACGAACAACTTCTCCTTCCATAGGTACCTAACAAATTAAAAGTGGAAAAAAAGTTACGGGGCAGGAACTACACATTAATTGGCTTATACTATGCTTCAGATAATATTACTTTATTCTTGACTAGAATTAGCAGTGATGTGCAAACAGGGAGGAGCCTGCTGTCCACGCAGTCCCTTGTTCAATGCCTGTTTGCTCTCCATCACAAGAAACATACTCTGGGTGTTCACACAAGCAGAAGGAATAAGTACTCTGCAGTAGCTCACCTAGTAATTAAAAATCACTTCAAACCAAGTACCTTAAAAGCTCTTTTCTGGGTAACCAGGACTCTTGCCTAAGCCCCTTTTCTTTCAGAACTAATTTCACAGACATCAGATCCCCAGCATTCTTGAATAATTTATGGACTAGAGGGTAACAAATCTTTTTCATGAATATGTGTAACCTCCTACTAATAAATAATTAACTGTCTGCTCATTAACAGTACCAAGAATAAAAAAGCATTAAATGTCACAACACGGGAATTTTTTTCGTTTCATCCTTACATATTTAGGGAATGCCAAAGTTTGATATTATTTGATATAGCAAGTGTTACAATATTAAGAAATTCCAATTAATACCATGACCAATAAAATTTATTAAACATTATATTTACAACTATTTACATATCCTTCCATAGATTAATATTAAAATAGACAATATACAATTTAAGAATTTTCATTCAAAGGCATTTTTGTTGGAAAAAATAGGCTCTATTACGAGACCACCATATAAGAGCAAAAGGGGTTTTTTTGTTTTACACAAAAATATTTTCAGTATAGTAAGTGGTAGGTATGGCATTACAACAGCAGACTAATATGAAATATGATTTTGTAAATATTACAGTTGTTTAGGTATCAGCTATTGAAGGAAAGGAGTTAAGAGTTCTGTGAAGCATGCAATACAGTTCAGTTTCAATTCTTTTACAGTTATGATGATGAAACAAGCAGCTAAATCAAACACATGCCATAGAAAAAGAACTGCCAACCAGGAACACACTACACTTAATAAAACTACAACTTTGGTCCAATAAAACATTAGACAAAAACAGTTTTACAGTTAAAATATCTATTTTATACAGGTTTGAACATTAATTACAAGACTATTTACATTTGCACATTATGTATAAAATAAATTATTTAAAAATGAAGACAATATTACATCTTTTTTCCAAAAAGAAAACTGTACAGTAATTTACAAAATATAATAAGATTAATAGACTATTTTCCTCCAAGTCTTACATTTTCTTCCACAGGCTTTTTCATCATTTTTCTGTGGGAGTTCAACTGTTACTGAAGTTTCATAATACAAAACTTTATAGCAGATTTTAAGTATCATTTGTTTTTTGGTGGCTGTTTTAGTTATTAACAGCTTCCAGCGCTGTCAACTCACCACGTTTCGTCATCTTTTTCAGCAATAAGCTCTAAAGCTATAGGCAATTTTAAAATACAGATAATGGCATTTACTGGGAAGCTGACTTTAAAATTAGCATCCACCTTCTGTGTTTGGACAAGAGCCTGTGCCACACTTCTCTGAAGGAACACCTGCATTATTGAGAAAGGTAGTATTCCACAGAATTAAGTGCTCTGTCTTAAAAGAAAAATACCTTTGTTTCTCACTGCACTGCAATTGCTAGTTGTCCGAGGGGAAGGGTGAGCCAGAAGATGCTAGTTGTCATATTGGTGTCAATTCAAAGTCATCATTAACATCAACAAGAGGAACATAAAACTCCTGAATTTCGTAAATACTGATAGATTTGTATGTAGCAGGATCAAGTTCTTGTAGTTTAAGCTGCCACTCCAGTCTCTGTACCGCATTTAAAGCTGCTGCTTCGTGCTGCTGCCTCATCAAAAGGCACGTCTATTTTAAAATTGAGAAAGAAGTTATTTCAATATTTGAAAAAAACATTGCAACAGGTTTGAAAATAGAAAAATTATCTCGGAGCCCCTCTGGTGGTAGTAAGTGCTTTCCCCACTGCGTATTTAGAAATTTGCAGATTATTCCATTAAGCTATATAGCAACAAAGTTTAGTTTTTAGACTGCTAGACCCTCCTTTATTGCATACAAATCTACTATTCATTCATGTCATTTTTGTAGCGACATTAGAGTTTTGTTTTTTTATTTAAAGTGGAAAGACAAAGAAGTGTACCTTTAATTTGTCAAACTTATCATCAACGTCCTGTAACCATGACATAAACTGCCTTGCATTAAATCGATCCCTCACTGATGTTTTGCTGTCATCAGTCTGAAAAACAAACAAAGAAAAAAGTATTCAAACTGTAAGTTATTTCATGATGCTGTCTTTAACATACTGTGAAACATAAAACCTACTTTGTGGGACCTTCATAAACAATGCTTCAGATGGAAAAATAAACTCTGAGTCAAAGTATCAAGGTATAGATGAGCATACATGTTGACCACCACTTTCACTGTGAGCCAAGTGCTCACTAAAAACGGGTATTTTCAGATTCCCTCAAGCTATTTACTGTACTCTATTTTTTAAATTTAGAGTAGGAGGCTTAAAGATTTATGCCTTTAAGTCTTAATCACTACAAGGCCGACTGATCCTTCCACAAATTCCAATCTCTCTGTTGTCCTTAAAAGTCAGTAACAAATTAAATTATCACTCCCTCGGGAAAAGCAAAAACATTAATAAAGGAAAGCTTAACCAGCCTGACTTAAATGGCTACACAAGTATTCAAAAACAATAACAAAAAAATATCTTTACCATCAAAATCCTCAAAAGGAAATTAAAAAAAGCGAGCAGACGTGTCTTAATGTCCTGCTCAATTAATTTTATTTTTTTAAAAGACCTATTTAATAAGAATCTGAAATGCCACAGCTGCCCATCATACGAAACTAGATACTCTACTATGCCAATTTAACATTTAAATAATAATCACTAAATAAAACAAGCTGTTGTTACTTTAGAAAAAAAAAACAACACAAAACCAGACCCTGTAGGAATTTGTACACTGTAGCAATGGGCAAGAACAGGAACAACAGCTGCAGAGACTGCCATCTCTAGAAAACAGCTGAGATTTCAGTTATCAAGGACAGCTGAACAGGTTGGTTCTAGAAAGAGCCCTCAACACCACTGATCTTGTAACCCTGAACTGTAGGCATTTAGGTGAGCTGTGACCAGCTAACAGTCTGTTCACCAGAAACTGAGCCTTTTTCCTCCCCCATCTCTGGTTTGGCCCATATGACTGCATAGTGTGGTTCTCAAGGTCTGCCCAACATGTGCAGCCATAAAGGCAAGCCTCCAAAGACTCAGAAATCCCATAAAAACAGTTCTGAGGCAGTCACTACCCTGCAAAATAAACCAGATCTTTGCTTACTAATCTTTCCCAGCTATTTGCTCAAATAGAAGAAAAACTTAATCAGAAATGTTTCTTCATTGTACAACAACATTAAGAGTTGCAAGTGGGGTAACAGCGAAGTGACAAAATGCGCTACTAGAAAATGGTTTCTTATGCATCTACATTCTTGCCATGAAGCAAATTTAAACCCAAGCACCAAGCTGATAGCTTAAAACATTGATTTCAATTACAGTAAAAAAATATATT